AGTCTTTACTAGATAAAGTCTTTAACTAGATAAAGTCTTTAACTAGATAAAAAAGGCTCTAACTAGGGGCGCCTGGGTGGCTCAGTTGGTTAAGCGTCTGCCTTCGGCTCAGGTCATGATCCCAGGGTCCTGGGATTGAGCCCTGCATCGGGCTCCCTGCTTGGTGGGGAGTCTGCCTCTCCCTCTGGCACGAAACCTGCTTCTAATGTAGTTTAGGCATAGACCCCTCCTCTGAGGTTTTGACTTTGTAAGACTGGAGAGGGTCCTGGGGATCTGTATTTTTTTAAACAAAGCTTCTAGGTAGCTCTTATGGTCAGGCAGGTTCTAGAAACACCAATGTAGAGAAACATTGATTTAGAAACCCATCTATCTGAACCTGCAATGTTGACTGTGTCTGAGGGATGCCCTTACATGTTCTTTTCTTGGCCTCTTGGGTACTGGTTTCTGTCCCTGTGGAATCACTTTTTTATCTTGACACATGCTTTTATTCTTACAGAGAGGCCCTTATCTTGGATGGGACCAAATCAGAGAGTCCTTTTTCAACAATGTAAGACATCAGTTCTGTGAAGCTGTTATTTTTAGGAAGGTTTTATGGACACTGACTATTAAGTGCTTTTGGGCATTCTTGGAAATACTGGGCTCTAAGCTTTGGACCTCTATGGAGAAGTCTAAGGAATGTCCTGCAGCTGACTTTTCCCACACCCTCTCCCACTTTGGTTTAGACAGACAGCTGGGGATAACGAGTGTCCCCTTTCTAAGTAGAACGCTGACTAGAAATGGATGAGGAAGGGCCCCTCATCCTCCACAGACCAGTTTGGTTCTGATCCAGATGAACTGACAGATTGAGGAGTTGGGCTTTCCATACCGTTATATCAACATTGACCTTCCTCTCTACAAATGCAGGGTCCATCTCAGCCCTACCCTAGAGACCAAGTCAGTTTAGGAAGCGGATATAGTAGGAAATGGCTTGTGTGTTGGTTGGTATTGGAGGGGTGGAGAAAAGGCTTCTTCCCTGGTGCTTGTGACACTGTTACATTTCCATCAGAAGCTACAGTAGAAGCAGGCTTCATGCCAGAGATCTGTGGTTATTTGAACCTTTATGACTAGTGATGTCCTGACGGGTACACCTGTAATATCTGGCAGGGAGATCCCTGTAAGGGTGGTGTGAACCATGGTCATGAGATGAAGGACATTCCTACTATGTCTCAAATTGTGTATGGCGGCATCAAAGTCCCCAGGAACTGCTGAGTGGGAGTCACTAACTGATCTATTAAAAATTTAAAAATGAGGTGAATTCACTTAACTGTTGTGCCTAAAATTCTATCATTAGAGAAATTTGGGTGAAAAACTCTCTTTAAACCTCTTCTTCAACATGTAAACATCTATAGGACAGAGAACACATTTCTTATTTATACCTTCCCAGGAATAATTTCATAAAATGCTTCTCAAAAGCAGTTAGCTAAGATCAGGGTATGAAGAGAGTGGACTCTGACTTGACGAGGTGAAGTGTGGCTCCTGGACAAGGAGAGCAGTGGCACAGGGGAGAGCTAGAGGCCGCAGGCATGTGGGGCAGCTCACCAGGAGCCAGGGCGAGCTGGGAGGGCACTGGGCAGAACTGGTTCTTGTTCACTGTGTGTGTGGCATATTTCACATATACTTGACCAGTTGCGATGAAAAGCCAGGCGATTTATATAAGAAAATTAAGATTAAACATCATAAATGTAGTTGGGATTATTTTGTGCTTTTTTAAAAGTCTGTTTAGTTTTGAGAGAAAAGCTTGGGAAATGATTCAGTTTCTGTACCTGCTTAACAGGTGAATTTGGCCAGTGGGAGAGACCTTCCTTTATGTAGAGGCTTTTTCCCAGTCCGTTTTGAGAAGGGCTTGACTCTTCTGAGACCCCATGCCACCTAGAAAGTGTGCGTTAGCGCCCGCTTTCTCTCCCTCATTTGCAAAGAATAGTTTATAGCTGGTGGCTGAACTCTGAACTTGGACATCCTATTACCAAAGCCAAAGCTTGTTTGAGTGGTACAGTGTGTTTTCAGAATAGTATGATGATGGGTTGGGAGATTACATTTGCCCCTGCTGGCTGAGTAAGCCTAAACTGATAGAGGAGTGATACAGAAGTACATCCCAGGGACCAGAACTCTGGAAACTTTTATGAAGACCAACCCACACCCTCACTGACAGCCATTTCTTGCCCCTGCCGCCCCCAGAGTCTCTGCTCTGTCTTTAGATTGGGCTTAGTGCCCCTAATTGCAAGATTCACAAGATGTTCCTTCATGCTCTTGGGCAAGGTCTTGAGATAAAACACACAGAAAATGAATCCATTCTATTACAAATTAAATACCTTGGTCTTCAAGTGGTACTGGTTTCCTGGTACCCAGGAAAGGTGGGAACACACAGCCTGTGAATATTGGAAAGCGTTGAGAACCATCTATACTGCCTCCTGTGCTGTGACCATGAGCTTGCTCTGTGACCTTGGACAAGTCATTTTACCGTTTGGGCTAGAGAAGGTAAGGGGATGAATCTAGGCCTGATTATTCTTATTCTAGGTGAGTCTCTATGTCTGTGTGTTCAGTCATTTATTCAACACAAGCTTATTGAGCCCCTCAGGGAGCTGACAGTCTGGTAGGGGAGATCGCAGAACAGTCGTTACCTTTTTTGTGGGTAGTGAGGTGTGCAGTGCAGGGTGGAGAGGCCACGTGGGACGTGTAAGAGGCCTTTAGAAGGTGTAGGCACCACATGCCCAGAGCAGGTGAGGAGGCTGGAGAGCTGGGGTGTGCGGGCTTAGGGTGCAGCCTAGGGAAGGCGCTAGGGATTCCTGGAGCATTGCTTGTGCCCCTGGTCCACATGTGTTTGCTTGACCTGCTAGGAGATCCTGTAGCTCAGCCACCCTCGCTGTGGCGTGGCCAAGAGGGGTAGACTCTGGAAGCTGAGTGTGGTTGGGGCATGCAGTGTATCACCATGATCCGAGTACTGTTTTTATGTTTTGGACCCCATTTTTCCCCTTTTGTAAAGAAAAGCAAGAGCAATAGAAACATAAGAATGTGAGGATTTGCCAGCTCCTTACAGAAATACACTTTTTGTTGGGGGGGGAGGGGTAATTTTTTCTTTCTTAGAGATGATAGATATTCAAAGAGAGAGGCAGCTGAATTGAGCTATTCTCAACCCTGAATTACTTGACGCTCCTGGGCCTTGGCATCACTGTAACCACAGAGGGTGCTCCACGCTCCAGGAAGAAACTTGACCCTCGCATAAAACCACACGGAGCTTTCTGGATGGCCCGTTTCTTTTCTCGAGTGGTCAGATTTTATATCTAGGTGGGAGGAGAAGCATTGTCTGAGAGGAGAAATGTGTGCTCGCTTCGGCGGCTCATACACTAGAATTGACACCATCCAGAGATTGGCCCGGCCTTGGTGCAAGGATGACAGACAAATCTATGAAGCATTCCGTATTAAAAAATGAACGAATGAGGGGCACCCGGCTGGCCCAGCTGGAAGTGCGTGCGACTCTTGATCTTGGGGTCGTGAGTTTGAGCCTCACGTTGGGTGCAGAGATTACTTAAAAATAAAAAATCTTTGGGCGCCTGGGTGGCTCAGTTGCTTAAACAACTGCCTTCGGCTCAGGTCATGATCCTGGAGTCCCTGGATCGAGTCCCACATCGGGCTCCCTGCTCGGCAGGGAGTCTGCTTCTCCCTCTGACCCTCCCGACCCTCCCCCCTCTCATGTGCTCTCTCTCTCTCAAATAAATAAATAAAATCTTAAAAAAAAAAAAAATCTTTAAAAAAATAAAAATGAATGGATGAATGAATGATTAAGAAAGGGAAGTGTGCGTCCACTTTCCTGAAGCTGGAGTTCCCTTTGCCTGCCCCGAAGCAATTGCAGCTTGCAGAAGGGGATGTGGCATTTCTTGGGGAAATGAAATCCTCCTGCAGCGGTGGACCCTGGGCTCTCTAGCCATCCTGCTGCAGGGCTAGAAGGGGTTCCGAGCATCAACAAGGTCGTGCATTTTCTTGTAAACAAAAATGGACGTTTTTAGGGAGTAGGCCAAGCCAGCTCTTCCCTACTCTGTACTCTCCCCCACCCCCGCTCCTGGCACCGGCCCCATTTAGTGCTTACTGCCTTCAGGAAGCATCCGGGTCACCTGGAGGGCTTTTAATAACACACATGGCTGGGCCCCACCCTCAGAGATTCTGAGTTGCTAGATCTGGGGTGGGCTGAGAATTTGCATTTCCAGCACATTTCCAGTTGATGCTGATGCTGCTGGTCTGGGGACCACACTTTGAGAACCACAGTGACACCAGGCACTCCTCTCCTCGACCTTCTGCCGGGTGTGTTGGGACAGGCAGGCTCCAGTCCCAGTGGGGTGTCTGCCTGTGGGGGATTGCCCAGTGCTGGAGGAGCCTCCAGGGAAACAGTGGTTCCCTGGAGTGCCAGAGGGGCCCCAGCCCTAGAGCCTTCTGTCTCCACACAGGGCAGGCATGTGGCATTTGGGGTAGCTGAGTGGGACTCTCATTACCTCCTTCTAATACCTTCTTTTCTGTGGTGTTCCTGGACCGTGCTGCTCTCCTCTGTAAGACCCTTCATAGGCTTGCCAGTGGCCTTAAGGTAAAGTCCAAACTCTCCTAAAATGGTGGCAAGGCATTTTGTGATTCCCTCCCTTTATTGCTTCGTGTCTTGCCAGTTTTCCTCTCGGCCCCAGGGAATACTCCAGCGGTCATTAACCCTACTATATTCTTCTTGCTTCCAAGGCATCCCATTTTGCTGGTGCCTCTGCCTGGCGGGCTATTTACTGGTCCTCTTAGTCCAGCCAACTCCTGCTTGTCAGACCTCAGCCTGGCCATCCCTGGTTCTGGTGAGCTTCCTTTGACCCCTCTGGGACCAGCTAGGGCTTCAGTAAAGGCTTCACATCACCTTGTATTTTTCTCACTCGGCTCCTGTTGGCTGCATCAGGGTCCTGATTACTGCCTGTTTCTTTCTCTCTCTCTCTGGATTGTAGGCTCCCAGAGGGTAGTGAACCCATCCCATGTTCAGTCATGTGACTCTCGGCGTGGCATTGTTGTTCTGTGAGAAGGATACTGTAGGGGAGGAAACCGAGGCAAGTACGTGAAGTACCTGGCTTACAGTTACCCTTGTCACTGAGTTCCAACACTGGGATTCTAACCCATCTCCCTGACCCAACCCCTCCCCCACCACCAGACTTCCTGCTTTGAGACCAAGGAGACCTAGGCATGGTCCGCAGGTCTTTCCTGGGAGCATTAAAAGACTGCTTGTTCCAAATTAACAAAAATGGCCCTTTCCTGTTGTTTTTCAGGTCAACTGGGAAGCCAACTCTTGAATTCACAGCTGGCTTGTGGTTTTTGCCTCTTGTTAAAGAGCACGCATACAGGTAAGGACCTGCTCATGCTCCGGTGGGCTGTAGGCAAACTAGCCATGATGATGCGCTCTCATAACCACCCAAAGTTCTCATTCATTAAAAAGAAAATCCTTATATGTAGGGTGAGATTTCCTGTAAGAAAGCTATGAAGTGGTCCCCTGCCCCTGCTGGGAATTGTGGGGTGAAGGTGTTTCTTGGCTGGCTTTCTCCTGGGCGTTGCTGGTCTTCTCATTACCAACATTCTTTTCTTTGAGCGGGGCTCCCTTCTCCGGTCCATGTGAGTTAGTCCTTTAGGATTCTTTTTCCTCGGGGCGCCTGGGTAGCTCAGTCGTTGAGCGTCTGCCTTCGGCTCAGGTCATGATCCCAGGGTCCTGGGTTCGAGCCCTGCATCGGGCTCCCTGCTCGGCGGGAAGCCTGCTTCTCCCTCTCCCTCCCCCTGCTTGTGTTCCCTCTCTCGCTCTCTCTCTCTCTGTCAAATAAATAAACAAAAAATCTTTAAAAAAAAAAAAAAAGGATTCTTTTTCCTCATTTAAGACCCAGCCCAGATTTCCTATGTTAGTTATCAGACTGTTTCAGCAGGAGGCTTTTTGGAGCCTAGCCTTTCCCCTGGCTTTACAGCAGAACCGATCACTGCCTCTCTGCTCACACAGCACACTCGCTTGCCGGGTGAGCTGGACGTATGTGTTCATGCACAACTCTTCCCTCTAGTCTGTGAGTTCCTTTGCATGTTTCCTGGCCTGGAACAGACTTTCAATAAAAGAACAGATACGTCTGACGAAAAAAAAAGAAAAAACCCTCGTAAGCTCCCCTAAGGCACGGTGACAAGAAAATCATAAACCAATTAAATGATTTGTAGAGTGCCTTTTTGGATTAATTCTATGCCTCTTTGCTCATATTACCATGCATAATTGAGAATTTACCATCATAAGTCAGTAGGAGTTTAGACTCCTCCCCCTAATGAAAAGGATAAGAAGTCAGGTGTTCTCGTGTCATCGTCTTTCTATGGAGTAATAAGTGGTGCTAGGTCGCGGAGCACTAATGTGCTAAATGACAGCCTGTGGCCATGAGCAGCCAGCCCTCTTGGCTGCCCTGGGGGAGACCATTGTCAACCAGACCCCGGGAACCCTGGTCAGCCCTAGGATTGATCATGTGTCCAAATGTGTAGGCAGTAAGGGAGCAAACAATAGACTTGCCCAATTTACAACCTAGAGGAAATAAAAATATTTCTGAGTGGTTTGAGCATTTGTTTTAAAACACAGTTGAGGTTTAAATAAGGTTAGCAGAAAGCTTTTAAATCAGCGCACCTCAGTCTTCCCCAAACTTCTCGGTACGTTGAGTTCTTTGAGATGTGGGCTGAGTGGCTTGATGCCATTTTGCTTCATCCTGTGGGTTGGGAGTAGCAACCCCCAGACTGCTGGTTCACTCGATATTGAAACCAGCATGGGACCTGGGTCTTCACAGGGGAGAATATGGCCTTGAGTCTTTGCTTTTGCCTTCCTCTCCTGCCTTCTCCATGAACACTACTCATTGTTTGGCCTTTCCAGCTGCTTGGGTTAGGTGGGTGCAGCACTGAAGCAAAGAGAAAGGAGTCGCCTTCTGGTTCCTGCATTCCTAGTAGAGGTCCTGGCCAGCAAGTCCCACATAAAAGCAATCAAATAACTGGTTTCCTTTACCTGGTGCCGAGCCCCAGTTACACAGCTACGTCTGAGAATTTAGTGAAAGACAAGGCAGTACAAGAAATTTGACTCTCAGCTGACCCTATTTATGTTCTTAAAATTTCCTAGGGCTTTGGGTAGAGTGAGGAATTGAGCTTTGCCCAGGAATTTCCAGTCTCCATGGAAGCCAGTTTGTCTATCATACTTGAAAAATAAATTAAGGAAATTAGTTGCAGTTTAAAAGCCCAGATGTTAAGATATGAGTGAGTTTTAGCTTTTTAGTAGGTTTTGGAATCTGAGATATTATTGCCTGTTGTGTGTTGCACTGTTCCTGCAGAAGCCGAATGCAAGGTGGTGGCTGTTTGTCTGGTCTTTACGCCGCCAAACACATGGGGAGTGCTTACCAATTGGCAGGAATTAGCAGCTTATTGAGCTTCTAGGAGATATCTGATTCTCAGAGCGACTCCTGGTTTACAATACAAGTCTAATCTAGTTAGAAAACAAATGAGGTAGGTCAAGTCATCAAGTTCCTGATATGGTCCTCTTCCGCACGGGACACTCACACATGGGTATGCATTCAGACACACTTCACTAGCATTCTCTAGTTGAATCTTGACTACCCCACATCATTCTCAGTAGCCCAAGAAGTGATACAGCTCCTGAATTTTCTTAGAGCTTCTGAACTTTGTGTTTGGGGTAGGAGGGGGTTCTTCTTTCATGAAATGTTTGCTGTTTCTAAAGATGGGCCTGCTGGTACCCCAGCAGTAGAATTTGTATATCAGGGTGCACGCGTGCGCACATGTGTGTGTTTAGTATAGCTGTTTTGGAGTGTTGGCCTTGATCCAAAGGCACTGTCCAGCATGGGCCCCTTGTGTCCAGGGTAGACATTTGGGAGCCATCAGACACAGATACACACAGAACATAAATGGCCCATCTCCCCTCAGGTGTCTTTGGTTTTTTGTTGTTGTTGTTTTGTTTTGTTTTCAGGTGAAGCCTTTATCTTTCCTTCTTAAAGAAGAAACAAAGTCTCCAAAATAGACTTTCAAGTTTCATTGCAAAGCTACACCCAGGAATTGACATCTCTGGGAAGAGTTTGCTCTTTTTCCATGTCCAGGTCACCATCAATGCATCATTTAGGAGCCACTTTGTCCTTTGATCAGGTTGCTTGTCAGCTGTGATTTGTGGCTGGTTTGTCTTATCCACTATAGGAGTTTGTTGTTGATTTCAAAGATAACTTATAAGTACTTGTTTCCAGGAAAAGTTGCTTATAAATGGAAGCTCTTGGACTTCTTCTTTATGAAGAGACTGTTGTTTTGATCACTCTCATGTCCTCTTCAAGAAATGGTTGTTTCCTGTTCCTTCGCATCTTTTTACCTGAGTTGGAAGGAGGCCGTCGGATAACTAGTTAATAAAAGTAACTTTCCCAGATAGGCAAAAGAGAGTGAAAGAGTTTCCTCTTTCATCTTTTTTAATGATGAAGAGTAAATACTCTGCCTTTTAAATGGTTTCGTTTCTCTCGAAAGCATTTCTTACATGGAGCAGTTTCTGAGGCTTCAGGAATCCTGTCCTCTCAGGTCCCTTCTTCAAAGCTGGAGGAAGCCTTGCTTGGCTCCCTTCAGACCACCTCCATTGATGGTTATCTCTCCTCTCCTTTCTGTCCTGACTGCCACGCCTGGTGCTCACCTCCCTGCCTTTCCCCCCAGCCCGCCTGGGGTTGCTGAAGGGTGTCCTCCTCCCCTTCATGGGCCACAAACTAGAAAAGAAAACAAATAACGGAGCTCCCATTGCGGCCCAGCAGGCCGGGGGAAATAGTCCTCGTTCTCCTTGTTCTTGGGTTCAAAGTGCATTTCACATTTTATGGGGGTGATCAGCCCTCCCAAGGTGCTGGTTTGAGGGGGCCTGCGTCTGAGCCTGGTGGACCATTGACCATGCTGACCTCTTCCTTTTGCCTTTCTGGCTGAGTTGACATTAGTGCTCTGAGCGAGAAGGGGCTGCTGCCACTTTGAGCGGAGCTCCGGGCAGGGGTGGAGAAACATCTGATCTTGTTCAAAGGGGCTGTCTCTGAAGCATGAAGATTGAACTGATCGTGACCCCACCGTGGGGGACGGAGAAGCGCCCTCTGGAGAACGGGCCTGTCAATTACTAATCCTATTGGCTTCTGGGTCTTCGGGGTCTTATAGCCGTTTAAAAGAGAGAGAATTGGGGTTGGAGGTAATAAAACAGGCCTTAAATTAGTGGAGCAGGGGGTCATTTCATCTAATTTTGTGGTTGTTACTGAGGAATAAAAGGCAGAGGAGCTAATTTCATTAGCCCCTTTGAGGTCTTTATCATGGTGAGATGGCACTTGGGGATGGAGCAGGGCCTCGTGGGCGCCGGCCTTTTCCCTGCCAGGGGCCTCATGGCTGCATTTCCGTGGCTCCAGGGCAGGGCACCACGGCCAGGAAGATAGTTTCTCCTGCTCTACGGCGAGAGTTAGTGACTTAAAGCAGTTGATCTGTGCCTCAGCATACCTCTCCGCCAGACGAGAGAGCTCCTTTAGAATCGGGATCGTGGTGGCTTTTACTTCTGAGGAAGGCTGGCCAGTCACCTGTCGACGTGATTTATTTGGGGCATGATGGTCATCATGTTCATTTGAGCTGAGCAGTGTTCAAAGTGTTAAATCTTAGGGTGGGGAGTTGGCAGGAAAGTGAGAGCTGTACCTTCTATTTGCTTAGTGCTGTTCTGTTCCTAGCGTATGTTCATGTCTCCCGCTTCCTAGAGCCCTGCTCGGGAGGTACGTATTCCTACCCACGTGGACAAAGAGTAATGTGGGGAAAGGTTCTGGGACTTGTTCTTGGTCTCCCAGGAGGGCAGCAGGGGAACTGGGATTCGATCCTGGATTTTTAACTTGCAAATTAGGTTCTCTGTGATCATTATTGAAGAGACAGAGGAGAGAGAAGGAGGAGGAGAATGATAAAGATTTTTCCAAGAGCAGGAAGAGAAAAGTAGTGGTTAATAGATAGTTCTCTGCACCAGCCACCAGCTGGCACCATTCCCCAAGGCAGCCTGGTTTCTTTCTGAAGGGGAGCCAAGTGACCAGGGTGGGCAGGGCAAGGAGGATGGGGAGGGTGATTTGTATATCTGACATAGTCATAAAGCATTGAGTCACTTCTGGAATGCCCGTGCATATGATAAGGAAGGACAGTGACATCAGGTGTCCACACCACTGCTGCTTGCTTGTTTATTTCTGGGGCCTAGCTCTTCCCATGTCCATCTGCATTCATACTCTTACTGTCTCTTGTCTGATTGCTTTCTTCTCTTCAGCTTCTCCCTCTCTACTGCGTACATTTCTGCCTAATATTGGTGAACTTAGCTCTG